TAAAAGTTTTATATACATGGATTTGACTTTAAACATGTTTTTGAATGATTGATAGGTTGAAAACATGACCAAATGATTGCCATTTATTGCACATGTTTGTATCTAATAGCAAGAGCTGGCTATATGGTGCACATGTAAAAAACTTGTCTTGCAAATTAGATACATGTTGAAAGTTCTATAGAAAATTGAGATATAACTCCTAATTAAATAGTATATATGGAAATAAGATTAAAAATTTTCTTATTTTCTTCAATGCCTATATTATTATTAATTTTTTTTCAAAAGTCTTAACTCTTTTTTTCTTTCATAATAGCCATTTTTATCTTTATATTATACCATTTTTAGATGATATTTTATTCCTTTTTAATGACACAAGAATGTATTGACCTTTTGGTTTTATGTGATTCATATCTTTGCATATATCAAGTTTTGGATCAATATTTTGGTTTAGTTTGGTTTTACTAAATTTATTTGGAATTGGAATCTAGAACCTTAAATATATTTGCTTGTCATCTATATATCATAATTCTTTTTTAATAAAATAAGATGCAATTTTTAGCATCAAATCAATTATTCTTTAGTATCTATATTATATTTTTTAGTTTGTTGTATATCGCTAACAAATGTTGCTTATTTATTGACTTTAGCTTATTTATTAATGCCTTTGAGAATTACTAGAAGAAGATATTTTATGTTTCAAGAATTTTTTGTAATTTAAATCCAATACATGAAGTAGATGTTGGAATATAATTCAATCAATATATTCTATATTATTATATTTGGAATAATCATAAAATTTTATTATGAGAGGTGTTTTATGATATAAAAACCTATATGCTCTTTAAGAGGCTTACTATCTCCTTCTAAGCAAATCTATTTTTAATTTATCAATCTTTTTAAGTATTAATATAATTTAAATGTAGCCTTTTGAATTCAAGTCAATTATTTTGAAATTGGATTGTAATGTTAAGTTTCAAAAAAAATCTTCTCAAAAAAACACTTCAAATAATTATTGCAAAACATTTAGATCACATGTAAAAAATTACACACCTTCAAAATAAAGTTCATTTATACTTTTATGACTATTAATAAAAATAATTGTACATTATAAATTTTATAAAAATAAAGAACATTGTTAATACTTTAAAAGTGCTTAACTCTAAATTGATCTCTTTTGGTATTATTCCTCTATATAGAATTTTCTTTTATCTACACCACCTGTAATTCAACAATAAGTTGTGGCTATTGTTGTGATATAATTTATAATTCTACAAGCACAAGCATCTATTAATGTAATAAGAAAGTTGTTAATGGTTATAAAATCTATTTTAACATGCCAAATAAGTAATTATACCTATTTTTAATAAAAAAAATGATTATTATTGGCTTTGATATGTATCAATTGCAGTCAAAGTTATTGAAGTTGAAGCACCACTCCTCATGTAGTATGGTTTAAATATGACAAGATCATGGCATAACAAGTATTCTAATGAAGGTCTCTTTGTAAGGCTCAATATTGCATATAACATGCAAACATACAAGCTTAACTTGTTCATAGATCTTTTTCAATATATAATGAAAGATCAATTGGTTAGCATCTTAGAAGATTTTAATGTAAGGAATTGGCTAATAAATTTAAAGATGGACATCTTTTTATGAGAAAATTGCACCACATATTCTTTATGCATGTTTCTAATGCAAAGCTCTATTTATTAGAATATGTCAAATAAATCAAACTTGCTTGATTTAAGATATTACTTAACCATTTGATATATTCTATTTGTTGCAAAGATTAGTTTTTTTAAAAATAATAAATCTTGTTTCTCCAAAAAACAAGGAATATTTTCTTCTCCATATTAATCAATGCATTTTTCATATATGTAATTGCCTTGGAAAAATTGCTATTCCCAGTCTCTTCATAGATGCTCCATTATGCTTCAAATTCTTCTTTAGATGGTATAAACACCACTAAATACTAACTTTGTAAAAATTGTTGCTACTACTCATTTATAAAATCTTGTTTGTAAATTTTTATGATGTTCTTATTAATATAATAGAGGCATAGAAGAATGATTGCAGATAAAAAGAATTCCTTGATTTTATTGGTAAGAATTAATTCGTAATCTACAATAATGATATTAGATAAAGGTACCTCAACAAATAATTTTTTAACTTGTTCAAGAAAAATTTGATAAGATTTAAATTCTTCTAAGGCCATGAAAATAAGAACCACTATAAAAGAGCTATTAAAATATGTATGTCCAATAATATATAAGAGTAACATTTTTTACTTGTTGATCTTGTAAGTGGTATCAATTACTAGCACTTTTTAATTCATATAAACAAGATTGATTAAAATATGATTAAAAAAAATATAGATTACAATTCCAAATTTGTTGGTATGTGTGCTATCTAGAAATTTTAGTAAATAAAGCCCTCGAACAAAAATTTGAGCAGTATATATTTATCAAACAATGTCTTTTTAAACCTTTGATGCTCATTCAATGCTCTTGAATCCAACACTATAAAAGCTTAGCAGAAACAAAGCATAACATTGATTCAAAACCTATTGCATGTAGTGTAAGTGGTGATATTGGACATTGGTAAATAACATCAACAAACAACTATAAGCGAAACAGAGTTTAAATTCAATTTTTTCTTTTAGAGACTTTTCTCCTTAAAATCCTTGTAAGAAGTAGTGCCCCTTGACCTTGCCTATTGACTAATCAGCATGACCATTGAAAGAGGGCACTGTGTCCCCTTCCCTTCTTTGCAGTTGTGGTAGGTATTACAGTCCAGATAACAACAACCAATTAATAAGAACCCTCTACTTTTATCTTATTTTTTTGCATATAATAATATCAAAAGTGTACATAGCAATTTAAAATTTTTAAATTTATAAATCATTATATATATATATATATATATATATATATAATTCAAATATTTAATTTTTAAAAAAATCAAATAATATTTTTATTTTTTAGTATAATGACTAATTTTTAAATTTTGATGAAATATAATTTATAATTTATTTAAAATCATATAGTTTATAGTTTATTTTTATTTTTAAAATAAAATTAAATTAAAAAATAAATCTACTTTAAAATAATAAAAACTATTATATTAGAATATATACCAAATTTTTTAAAAGTAGATATTTCAAAACTTTTAAATAAAATATTTTGATTATTTATTTCTAATAAATAATCATTATTTTTTATTAAAAGAATACCTATTTTTTTACAAAATTGTATCTTTAAAAGTTATTATATGTAGTTTAATTTTTATATTTTTTAAAAACCTTAAAGATATTTAACTAAATCAAAAAATTAAGTTTTTTACCCTTTTCATAAGACTTGTTTTTATAGATTAAAAAATAAGATTATGAAGTGAATTTTTTTTAAAAGATTCCAATTTATGTATAAGTTTGTAAAAATTATATAAAGTTATTTTTAGAAATAATTTAGACTTTGTTTTGAAAATTACTTTTATTAAAAATATAAGAAATAAAGAAACTTTATCTAATTATATTTTAAATTACACAATTACTATACAAGTTTTTTGGTCCTAGAAAAGTTTAAATATAAATTGTTTAGCAGGTTTTACATTTAGAGGCAAGACTTAATGTATCTTTAAGTTTCTAAGTGCCTCTCTTATTCTCCAATCTTAATTTAAGGGTCTCATATCTATTTACTCAGAAATAATCTTCCTAATTGTTTAATATTCTAGAAGTATAATTTACCTGAATATTTTAAATATAATCAAGGAAACCTTGTATTTGTACATTAGATTAGAATCTCACATTATGTTATGTATATATATATATATTTTACACTTTTTAAACATACTTTGTTAATATACAAAATTCATATTCTTTATACACATGTATGTGGTCCAATCTACAAGTGTTTCTGTATTTGTTTTTACATTGAAGAATTTAAATAAATGATCATGATAATACATACATACATACATACATACATACATACATACATGATCTTTTTGTTTTGTTTTGTTTGTTTCATTTTTATTTTTTAAATAAATTAAATGCATAAAGCTGTTCATTTGCAGACTTTCTGCAAGGAAACTAAAGAAGAAATTTGTTAAAGATGCTATAGAAGTTATTATACAATATTCTTATAAATTAAAAGTAAAAACCATTTTAAAAAATAGAATTCTAGAAAACAATTTTTTTTGACAATTATAAATATCTATATGTACCCATATCATGTAACAATCGAAAAGAAATGAATGTATCATTCAATGTCATAATAATTATTATTCTGATAAGTTCTACTACAATGGTTGAAAAAAATAAAATATGAACTGCATGATTGTGTTTTCAATAAAAGTGACACAGAATTTTATTTCTTCATATTAAATTAGAATAAGTTATTGAATAAAAATCTTACGCAGATAATTATATGTACTTATGGTAAAAGAAAATTACTTATATATTTTAAAAACAATTTCATTTTGATACCTAAAAAAATGTGAATAAAACTTAAATGTTTATTTTTTATTTTTAAGATAATTATTTACAGTAAAATAATTATAGGTTATTTTTTCATTTTATGATTTAAATATTATTGATTTTTTTTTTTTATATTTCTAGTATGGTTAACTACAGTTCATTTCAAATGATTCCAACTCACTGCTAAGATACTTGCCATTCATTTGAACGTCCTCCTCCCATCCATACATCCTTGCACATGTCCGCCCGTCCGTCCGTCTATCCATCCATTCTGGGCAGGAGGAGTGGGACGAGCCGTGCCTCGGGGGGGGGGGGGGGGTTGTATAGTAATTGTGTAATTTAAAATATAATTAGATAAAGTTGGGGGGGGGCCCCCCCGGGGCCGGATGGAAGTGAGTAGTAGTGAGTAGTAGTACAGCTTCTTCTTCTTCTTCACCTGCCTGGGCCACCGCCGCCATCCCGGAAGCCGGATGATAAAGATGATATCGTCGTCGGCTGTCACCTTGGTCGCGTCACGGGTCTTTCTTGGGGCTCCAGTTTGCTGCTGCATGCTCTCGTTTCTGTTGCGCGGAGGCCTCGTCCTCCTCCTCGCCTCTTTCGTGCTTTATTTACGAATTCCACCACCCTCGCAATCCTCGCTGCCTACCTCTCCCCCGTCCCCGCTTTTCTCTTCCCTGTCGCGTTCGTCCACTCGAAGCCTGATGTAGTCGCCTTCTGCTCTTCCTTCTGCTGTTTTCTCTTATGCCGTGCATTACTGCCCCTCGCTCCCATAATATGCCCCATCAGCAGCAGCAGGTGGTTATGGCAGCCTGCGCCGGTGGCTCCCCTTTGCCATCCTCATCCACAACTGTTGGGAGACGGTGCTCCTTGGGAGCCTCCCGCAACTCTCGACTTCGCAACCTTGGTCCTTCGACATTGCGTTTTCAGCCATCACAGCGTTCTACTCGCTATCAGGGGTCCTTCTCTCTCACTTTCTGCGTCCCTCATTCATGTGAGTGTCGTCTACATGGCACGAGGTGCTTGTTTTCAATCCTCATGTCTTTATTTTATCTGCGAACGTTGAAATGTCTATTCTACATCTTATTGCAATGGTGTCGTACCTTCCCAGCATGAATTATTGTGAGCTGTTGCTATTGTTTTGATGGATTTAGCTAGCGATGGACGCGCAAGGACAATTAGAGCTGCATTGAACGGCGGAGACAAGATGGAAGTGGTTCTAGATGACGCGAATGAAGCGGAGCGCTTGCGAGTCTTGCAAAAACAAGATGAATTGGCGTCACGGATCGCATCCGGAGAATTCACTGTGTCCCAACCAAGGTACGTGTTGTCGCCATCCTTTACAAGCTGAATTTCGACTTGTATTAATTACCGAACGGAATAGTAATGCGGAGCCTTTTTTGAATAATATCTGGCACCACCATAGCTTGACTGTCGAGATATGCTTTGTGGGTACAGCAATGACTTTTTGCTCACTATCCGGCGGATTTTGGCTAACTCAGGGCCAGCGGGTCGTGCACTGGCCCTGCAGCTGGCTATTTATGAGGCCCGAATAAAGGCTGAGCAGTCTGAGAGAATGCCTGAATCCCGTGGGGATGTCGGCGCTATTGTTGGTGAACCATTTTTCAAACCGCTTCAGAAGTTGTTCTTGATTTATGGGGGTGTGTTTCGGCTTACATTTGGACCGAAGGTACCATTCTTTCAGAGGCGTGTGTGATGGGAATTCGTGAATTTCTTCATAAACCCATTAATAAAAATGACTCAATGCGTCTTTGTTTCTTTATCATTCTCCTATTATCAAATGAAGTATTAATCATGGGCGCCTAGTTTGACATCACTGGACCTAATGTTTTCAGTTCCACAGTAGAGTTCAAGTCATTCTGCACTGATGTTCGAACTTCTGCTTCAGAGTTTTGAATGTCATTAGTGATATCGTTGACTTGCCCTGGTCCAATTGGAAGTGCGATTAAATGCATTTTGAAGGCTTGAATTTTCTTAGCACCAGCTGCGACTGTATCTTAGTCTCCTAGCCGTAACCTTGTGTTTAATATATGTTGGAATGCAGTCATTTGTGATAGTTTCGGATCCAATGGTGGCGAAGCATTTGCTGAAGGACAATGCAAAGGCATACTCGAAGGTGCAAATGAATTTCATTCGCTTGAGCATGCTATGCAATACCTATGCATGTATTTGGGTTACGAATAAAGTAGCTCTATAATCTTATATGACTAAGCAACGTAATGGAGCAATCTTAGATGTTCTCACTGCTTAATTTCATTTAAAATTTACATGCTGGAGATCGTCTCACTAATTGACGTAGTGGTGATGTCTCTTTAGGGAATATTGGCTGAAATTTTAGAATTCGTGATGGGGACTGGACTTATACCAGCAGATGGAGAAGTGTGGCGTGTGCGTCGTAGAGCCATTGTTCCTGCTGTGCATCGAAAGGTGATTCGATTCGGAGTTACCAATTTTACACATCAACTAAATCCTTTCATTGCATTCATTTTCTGACCAATAGTTATGTGGTGTTTTGAAAATATAAGATTGTATAGGGCTCAGAATTTTTTCTAATTGAATAGTGGTTGGAATGAAGGATATTGGGTCTTCTCTTTCATTAATGGTTATTTTTCCTGCAATAAGGGTATTGATTGCCTTGTATTGGCATACATGCATCCTGCGCGCACAAAGAATGGAGAGGAAAAATACTTATATATATATATATATATATATATATGCACACACGCACGCACAAATACATATGCATGCTAACGGAAGCGTTCTAGTTTGCAGTATGTTGCTGCGATGATGGAGGTATTTGGTCAGGCTACACAACGTTTGTGTGACAAGTTGGACGAGGCAGCCGTTTCTGAGACCAGTGTGGAAATGGAGTCGCTCTTCTCAAGGCTGACCTTGGATGTTATAGGAAAAGCTGTATTCAACTACGAATTTGATTCCTTATCAAATGATGCTGGCATTGTAGAGGTTGGTCCTTGAGACGACATTTTTTTTCCTAATTGGGATAACTAAGGGTAACCAAGTTGAGGTTGAAATTTTGTAAAATTGCTATGGAAAAAAATTCACGAAATGTAGCAAAGGGGAAGTCAATCTTGAAATATGTTCATATTTTTGCTCGTGACCACATGATATCCGCTAATGCGTCGTGTGAATGCTGACACTCCGGTTCAACAGGCTGTTTACATAACGCTGAGAGAAGCGGAAGATAGGAGCATTGCCATTTTCCCTTACTGGAATATACCCATTTTGAGAGCTATTGTACCACGGCAGCGGAGGGTAGCGAAGGCACTGAATTTGATTAATGAAGTGCTGGATAACTTGATCGCGATCTGCAAGGTTTCCAACATTTGATTTCATTTGACGTGTGATTGCAGTCAAGTTTCAGTTACCATTCTTTTTGTATTAATTATGTCTACGTTCTTCACTCATGCTTCTTACTTGGTTTCTGTTTAACTTGGAAATCTATCAGCAACTTGATTGTTGTCATTGTGCATGCAGAGGATGGTGGAGGAGGAAGATGTCCAATTTGAAGACGAATATGTAAATGATCGGGACCCTAGTATCCTTCATTTCTTATTGGCTGCGGGGGATGAGGTGAGTGTCTTCCTCAGGATGGCCCCACATGGGTTATTCTTTAAGTAACCTTTCCGGCGGTTCATAATAATGTTTTAATGCAGGGACGATATTTTTGGAAATCTGGACTTCCGTGATCAAGTAAAACTTTTGAGAAGGTTTTTCTTGTATATTGTTTCTGTTACTTTTTGATGATGTTTGGGATTGCTGTTTCCGTATGGAATAAACAGCTGATGTGGATTAAACGTGGGGGGCTAAATTTTTATATTATATTCAATCTAATGTTGACTTTTTCTCGTCGTCTAGTGTTTGTGTGCATCTCAATTTAAACATTATGAGGCGTTCTCATCTCGAGGATCGTGAATTTCAGGTTTCCAGTAAACAACTACGAGATGATTTAATGACCTTATTAATTGCTGGTCATGAAACTTCCGCTGCTGTACTGACGTGGACATTTTATCTACTGGCTCAGGTTTGCCCCTCACAATTTTCCACTGTGATTGACTTAAAGACTTAAAGTTTTAAGATTTTAGACCTATGTTTCTTTTAAGTCTTACACATGTGATGGAGACACGTTTCTCATGTAGTTATTTTCTAAGGATTTTTACGCTGAGTACTTCGTCTTATCATGTTTTCCTGCACTTGAATTCACCAGAACCCAGGTGCCGTAGCAAAACTTCAAGAGGAGGTGTGTTGAATTCTTCATTAGTCATTTATGAACAACTTTTTGCTCCTCTTGGAGAAAATATTGATAGCTGTCTCACCACTACAAGCTTGCACATGCAACCAGAATTAAAAGCATTTGCAACCTTTTGGTTGTTATCAGGTTACAGGCTTTTTGGTGACTCACATTTCATTCGCACTGTTTTGGATACAAGAGTCTAAAATTGACAGGCTCATCTAATTAAACTTACTTTTACAGGTGGATAGGGTCTTAGGAGATCGAATTCCAACTGTTGAAGACATGAAAAAGTTGAGATATACAACGAGGGTTATTAATGAGGTCAGTTGTTTTCCAGAGCACTCATAAGACGCGTTGTTCGAGCAAAGTGGAAGCCATTTTCCACTTTTCTACTTTTTGCTACCCGAATTCATAGGCTGTTATACTAGCCATTGTGTTCTTTGCATGCATCCTTACCCAGTGACGACAGTAAGCGTGGTATTTGGCAGTCCTTGCGTCTTTATCCACAACCGCCAGTCTTGATTCGAAGGTCATTGGAAAGTGATATGCTGGGAAAGTATCGCATCAACAAGTAAGCGTAAAAACCATTTGTGTAAAATTGTATCTGAGCACTCAGCTTCTCTGATGAATAACTCCGTAAAAGTAAGGAACTCTTCAGAAGCGTGAGAAACAAGTTGAACTGATACTTCTTTGTAACGCCTACGAGTTCAGTAAATAACGTAGGTGATATGCAACAGGACGTTGAGCTTTGAATGACTTGTCGAGTGTTCATCTTGATTGCATCTGGCAGGGGCGAAGATATTTTTATTTCAACATGGAATATTCATCGGTCTCCATACCTGTGGGAAGATCCAGAATCCTTCTTGCCTGAGCGCTTTCCATTGGATGGTCCAGATCCCACAGAATCGAACCAAAACTTCAGGTAGCAATTGTTTTTTTTTTGCGGGTGCAATTTTTGTTGAAGACATGCTTATTAATTATCCTCTTGGTTACTAACCTGTGACTATGTTATGTGGTAGATACTTGCCTTTCGGTGGAGGTCCTCGGAAATGCCTAGGTGACATGTTCGCCACATTTGAGGTATGTAGTTGCACCGCATGCGTGACGCCTTATTTTCTTTCTGGCTGGTACTTTGAGAAGTGACGATGTATTACATTTGCGTAGTGTTTGTGTACTATATCTCCAGACAATTAATGGCGTCTTTCTTTTTGTCGCAGAACATAACAGCATTAGCCATGCTTGTTCGGCGCTTTGAATTTGCACTTGCTCCTGATGCACCTCCTGTGAGTTACTCTTTCTTGATGTTCCATGCTTACATTGTATTGCACGGTATTAATTAATTAATTTTGTTGGCACCTAAATTTTTTCATCTACCAAGTCTCGTGCTTACTTATTTCTTAATTGTCTATCAGGTGGGCATGACTACAGGAGCCACGATCCACACTTCAAATGGATTACACATGTCTGTGGTGAGAAGGAAAATCAAGAGTGACAGTGCCAAGGAAACACCAGTCACACAAACACAGTCGTCGAATGGTCTAGTTTCACAAGGAACGTCATGAGCCCTCCAATGCTTGTAATCGACTGTTTCGTGCAAACTTGTTTGTACTGGCCCAGTTATACATTGGTTATGTTGGCCATAAAGCCTACGTATTAAGATGTGGACAAACACATAACGGAAATATGAACGATTCATTTTCAAAATAAACAATTGGACGCATTCCAGTCATTGCCATAATGAGTCCTTATCCTCATTTAGCAAAAAGATTTTTCATTGTTGGATGGGTCATTGCAATGCTTTAATTGTTGATGTCATTTTCCAGAGTCTAAGTGTCAATTTTTTTGTGAATTAATTTGCACAAAATAAGCATGGGACTAGGGCATTCAATTTGATTCTCATTTCTGAAATAAATGATGTGAGAGGAAGCAATTGCTTCTTTAAATCCATACCATTTTGCCTAGGACATAATCATTGTACTACAACAAAGTTCTAATAATCAATAATTATAGTAATTGATGTATCTTTAAAAAAAGAATTGTTTAGAGTATTATTAATGTGATTATTACTTTGGCATCTTGGATTGTACGTGTACAAATCTAACTCCAAGTTGTAATTGAAATGTTCATATATTATTTAAGTTTAATCTATGCAAGTTTTTTTTTAACCAATTATAATATTTGAACTTTTTTCCAGCATATTTACTACTACATGTAAACTATTTTGTTAATTTGAGGTCCCATAGTTGTACAAACATATATTTATTCTAATTAGTTTTAGTAGTGTTTCTAATCGTTGATTATGTTTAAGAAAAAGAAACCATTCTTTCATGATCCAATTTTAAATAAGTTCTTTTTTATTTTTTATTATATTTTAAAAATTTCTTAAAATATATTTTAGAAATTATTAATTTTATATCCACAATTTTCTTAGAATTTATGTATAGCTAATTTTTTTAGTGGGATCCAAACATAAACTTATATTCTTGTTTAGATAGTATATTCATAATCCAAAATTTAATACTATTAATAAACAAAGTCCTTTTTGGACCTTTAGATTAATTAGAACTTTTATTTAGAATAATGGAAGAATAGAAAGAAGGAGGTAGAATCACAAGACAATCTTATTAAGTTTCATGACTACATGAGCTTCTAGCAACATGCTTTTGAAAAGCTTCTTCTAAATTATTATATTTAATGAAAATTTATTTGGATAATTTATTATATTTTGATCTTGATGCAAACTATTATTTGATGTTATAAAATATAAAATATAAAAAGATTGATAACCTACATTTATTATTTTCAAAACTCAACAAATTTTAAATACTACCTTTAAATTTGTCTCATTATTATAGTATTATAATACTCTTTTATTAAAGGTGCATAATACTTATTTCTATTAAATAGAGTTGATACAATCTTGGACTAATTAGTTTTTTTTACTAAAAATACTAAATAGTTTTTTATTGATTAAATCTAAAATGAAGCAACATGTTTATTTTATTATATATATAAAATATATATTTTATAATTTAATTAAGATTTTTAAGGTCTAAATATTTTAAATAGAAATTAAATAAATTAGTTGTGGTGTGTATAACAATTTAGCTACTAATAAGTAATTTTTGTGTGGTAATCAAATTATATTTATAGAATATTTTTAGAATCTATAATATTGATAAAGTTCAAATCTAACTTCTAGAATTATAACTTCTACTTAGTGCTAAGACAAGACTTTAATTTTCTACTTAATTGTATTGGTTTCAACTTAAGATTATTTATATAATCATACAATCTTTTATTTTTAGAATTTTTGTCAATTCTTGCTTAATTTGATATATAATTTACTTTCTTAAACCACATATAATTTATTTTTATTTTATAGTAAATTTTGTTGATTTATATGTTTTATATATAATAAGTTTAATTCATTACTAAATAAATTCAATCATAAAATAATATGAGCAACATAATGTAATTTATCTTTATACTTTTAATTATAATACTTTATTTTTTAAATTAATATTTAAAATCTATTCTAACTTTTTTTTTACTTTATAAATATATTTATATTTTATATTAATAATTTTTTATTATTATTAAATTTTCTTAATTCAAATTTTTATTCTTTTTTAATCTAATTTTTAAATTGAACAATAAAAATTTTAGCTTCATTATTTAAATTTTATTTAAAATTTTATTCATTATTTAAAAAAAAACTTAGATGTAGCCAAGTTATTATTTTTTTATCATTTATTTTTGGAACTAAATTAGATAAATGATTTTAATTTATAAACATATACTTTAATTTTTAATTTTTAATTTTTTTTATTGAGTTTGATTTCGATTATATATCTTCAAGTAAAATAATTATTTGTTAGGAATTTATGTAACTACTAATGTTTTTATTTGTAGAAGCATTTATTCTAACTTTGTGAGGCAAAGTACTTATCTATCTTCTTGTATCATGCCCTTAAAATTTTTTGAGCCTATAGAATTTTAGAGAGCTTATAGTCTATACATTCTTTATCTTCTAAGACATAACCTTTATGTTGATCCATACAAATCTCTTCTTCTAAATCTCTATTCAAGAATGTTGTCTTAACCTCAAGTTGATGAATTTCTAAATCTTTAATTGCAACTAATATAAGAAGTATACAAATTGAGGTCATCTCTACTATTTGAGCAAAAGTCTCATTGTAATCAATTTCTTCTTTTTGCACATAACTCTATGCAATTAGTTTTACTTTGTAGTGCTCCATTGAACTATCTATATTGTATTTAATCTTTAAAATATTTTTGCAACTAATTGATTTTTTATTTATTAATAAAAGTACCAAAGTCTAAGTCTTATTGTCAATGAGACTCTAATATTCTAAATTCATTACATCCTTCTACTTCTAAGTATTATCTCTTTTTATAGCTTCAATAATAATAATTAGTTCATCAATGCTTGTATAAAAAATGTATATCATACATACTAAAGATATGAAAGACTTGGAAGGAATCCAAGATAATGTTGATTCATTAATTACTTATTATTTTGCCAATAAACATGCTTATACACATGTCATCATTGATGAAGGAGGAAGTAGAGGTGGAATGGTAGCTAGATTTAAAGTTGCACATTATTGTCTAAGTGCTTGAGCTTGTAATTGAATCTCTCAAATTGAATGTTTAAATTTATGTTGAATGAAATTGATTGTATTTTAATAAAATACAATCAATTTAATTTATGTTGAATAAACTACAATCCATTTTAATTAAATAAATTAAATTGGATGAATTAGGGTTTAAAATGCATGATAAATGGTGGATGGAAGTTGATTGAAATTGGATGAATTTTTATTTATGGATGAAATATTATTCACCAATGAAAACTCATTCATGGATGGAACTTATCTTGGATGAATTTTTGGATGATAATTAATATTAGAAAAGACTAAAAATTAAAATATAAAATAAAATAAAATAAAATAACATAAAAATTATATAGACTTAAATTAAATCATATAAAAAATTATCTTCCAAATGTGTGTTTTGTTGAATTAATTGAATATCTTGTGTTGCTTTGTGATGTGTGGTAGTACTTGAAGGTGAATTTAATTGGTAGAAAATCAAGAAGTTAAAACAAAATAGGAGACAAATTAATCAATTAAATTGTAGGCTAAGTAATATTATTGAATTTAAATATATTACTTATTACAATGAATTATGTTGATCACAATTGCATTTTTTATTGGAATTATTGGATACTTAATTCAATAATGATAGGAACTTATTAGATAATTTAGATAGTTAAAATCATTGGGAATTCAAGTAGACTCCTAACTAATAGGGGATTTACTTTAAGTCACATCTAGTAGAGAGTCTATTCTTTTATTAGATTTTTTATCTTATTTTACAATAGAAGTTTGTTTAGAATAAAAAAATCACAAAATCTTTACTTTGTTAGATTCAAGAGCTTCAATATGTTTTATAAATAAAGATTTTGTTAAAAAACAAGAAATATCCTTAGTCAAGAAAATCAAATCCATATATGGAGAAGTTATAGATGGTTGTTTGTTGTCATTTAGAAATGTTATCCATGAAATAATTCTTTAAGATATAGCAATTGAAGATTATAATAATTTAGTAGTATTTATTGTAATTACAACTCCTTCCAATCTAATTATTTTAGGATTATTGTGATTAGAGAAGTATAATCCTCAAATAGATTGAATTTCTTGTATTATTGATTTTTTCAATAGTTTAGCCTAAGATTTTGCTACTTAAATAGAAATCCATAAATTTAATACAATCAAATCCTTATGGGTAGATGCAAGAGCTTTTTTGCATACTACAAAAGAAAGATTAGCTTTTGCTGTATAACCAACACATATTTTCAATATCAAAAAAGACTTCAAGTAGCATTCTAAGCCAATATTAAGATTATCAAGACATCTTTGAGAAGAAGAATGCCAATATTCTTTCAAAGCATCATCTATATAATTATTCTATTGATCTTTAAGAAGGAGTTTAATCTCTACTTGAACCAATCTATAGCTTATTACAAAATAAGTTGGTTGCATTGAAGGAATACATTGACAAGAACTTGGCTAAGAATTTCATACACTATTTTAAATCTCTAGCAAAAATCTCTACCTTATTTCTAAAAAAAATGACAGATTTTGTAGATATGTGTAAACTATTGAAGGCTCAACAAGATCACCATCAAAAATATGTATCCTTTATCTTTGATCTCAAGACTTCTTGATCAACTAATCAAGCAAAGATCTATACAAAAATAGATTTATGAAAAAGATACAACCTAGTACGCATCAAAGAAAGAGATGAATGAAAAATTACATTTTGAACTAGGTATAGACCTTTTGAATGTAATATTATGCCTTTTAAACTTATAAATATATTAATTGCTTTTCAACATTTAATGAATGATGTCTTTTGTGAGTTTCTTGATGACTTTATTGTTTGTTATTTAGACGACATTTTAATCTACTCTAAAACACAAAGAGCATAAACTTCATGTTCATTATGTGTTACAAAAACTAAAAGATATAGGACTATATGCCAAGTTGTAAAAGAATTTATTTTATACTATTTGAGTTCACTTCTTAGAATACATCATTTCAAATGATTGCCTTATGTAACTCACATAATTAAATCACTTATATGTTTAATACAAAAAAATATACTTGTGTTACTTAAAATCACCAATCTAATGAATTAATGTAAGAA